AACGACCCGACTCCAGTAACTGAAAGAATAAAGATTTCATTATGATATCAAGAGAAATCTAAAGACACCTCATATGTCAAAATTCAACAAGCCATTTAAAATGTAGTCCGTGAAAAAGGAATTTCAATCTTGAATTTCTTTATTAAACTCCGTCAGTTTGGCACGGATACATACCCATGCGCGAAAATCATTACCCTCCATCTGAAGCAGTCAAGTAAAAACATCTTGCTGAACTAGAAATTGGTAATTAATAGTTGGAAATTATTCAAAAATTATCATTTAACATTTTGAATTGATGAATGAACTTCATTCTATTAAAAGCGATCGATTTTGAACAAATAACAAGTAATTTGTTATCCACGAAAATTACATGTGAGGCTACTTAATCATCGAATATTATTCAAAACTAGCTGACCCGACAGACGTATCGTATCTACAATTGTAGGACGCTTTTATAGCCTCCTTGATTTTCATAGTTTTCTACTATTCATTGTTCATGCTTTTGATTTATATCATCAGTTATATCAGCCTGAAATTTCCTGCAATTCAAAAAGATAACCTAGCCTTACAATAGGTTTGCGCTGACGCTGACATGGAGCAGTAGAAATCTAGAAATTCCGCAGCCTTTCTGGAGGAGAGAAAATACTCTGAAAATCAAGGAAGCCATAAAGGCGTAATACAATTAAAATAATAAAAGGGTAAATATATGGAATACAGGTAATTGTAAAGCGAAGTGTTTGTACCAATCAATTACTGTATTGCTGGATATGAGTCAAAAAATGTATATAATCTGGCCCATTTGTGGAAACGAATGAATATAGTGACTCTGGTGGTACCAATGGCTCAATGGAGTCAATTTGATCTTTCCACTGACGCAACATTATCCAGGGGCTTCATTTTTAAACTTGAATGCCTTGTAATATGGACTCACAACGTTCATAGGTCCAATAACAACGATTTATTGTGAACTGTAATCGATTGCCATGTCATAATTAAATGCAGCTCGATTGGGATTAAATACGTCACTTCTACGTTGTTGAATTTCAGTCATTCGATCCGTTCAACTTCATTTCTCGCTTCTCGGTGCTTGTCAGTTTCACTTCTTCGTATATATCTTTGACTTGTAGTATTGCAAGCTCTGCGACCTAGGTTGGTACGTCTAATTGGTGGCATTTTGAGGAATCACAATTTTAATATAAGGTGTGATTGCGCTGAACTAACTTCCACCCTTGTTAATTATCTTTGAACAAATACTTCTCAAAAAACTCACTGAACAAACTGAAAACTGTATGAAAGCTCTAACCGAATGTACTGTGTACTACTGATGAATTAAAACAATATATTTTTATCGATAAACACTGTCAAACGATAATATAATTTGCGGCGTGCGAACTGTCAAGTTCAAAATGATAGAGTAGTGAAAGTCAATTAACCAGAAGAAACATATTTTCACCCGCCATTTTTCTCCATAGAGTTAACTGACAAAGATAACAATTAGGCAACACTGCAGTTTCTTTTCAAGGGGTCATCACAAAGTACGGATGGTAAAGAAATGTAAGTCCAAAAACGAAAGCACCGTGTTTCCATACGCAGTTTTCTCTCAAATAGCTGTCAATAGCTGTTGGAATACAGATGGCGGAGAGGAGTGCCTGTCTCTTGTGGTACATGAGATATTCCTTCTGCTGTGGGTGCTCCATGCTCAAGCAAACTGTCAAACGCGCGTAGCCTACATAATCATTAGATTTTCAATGATTTCCCAATTTTCTTGATTTTTCTTTCCGTAAGAACCTTCTATACAGCATTAGGAAACTAAAAAAAAAAAATGAATGGAATCGGTAAAGTGAAGTTATGGCGTGACCACGCTAAATAGAGATTTATTTGTACATATATAGATAACGAAATATGTCCAGCTGGAATGCCAAACTATAACTTTCTCGTCGATTTCTAAATTGAAAGTTTGCCCTACGATTTTGACACCATGTGTATCGATGTTATTGTGCAGTGTTTCTTATAAATACATAAACAACGTTTTAAGTTATTATTGTATTTGAATCAACAATGCAATACGTGAATAGAAATTCAGGCAACAATAAAAATAAAATAAATAAGCTGTGTCCATTTCCCGAGTGTTAACACCAACAGTCATTATTTTTAATAGGCTCGCCAAAAAATTTTAGACAGAGCATTCATACTCCGCTACGCGAGCCAAGTCTTACTTCTATTTTTACGTCTGGTACTTCAATTGTTTTCGGACGAACACTTTTTTGCATTCCTCGTTTATGAGCTGCATACAGGGATATTTATGAGCTTTGGAACATATATATATATATATATATATATATATATTTATATATAGTTCATCACATATACAGATATTGGTTATAAACTTGTTTATCTATTTTGAAATAGAAAATCAGTGAATTGCGGGTGTTTTCTAGGTATCAGTATCTGTTACATATTAATTAACGTTTTTCCATGATAAATTCGATCTACAGGTTCTCGAATGAGCGTCACATATAGAAGGATGGATTGACTGCTATTTTGCCAATATCTGCCTACGCTCCTGCAACCCGCGTTTCACTAGCATGGTTTGTGGGTTGCATAGTCGTAGAATATTAAATGGAGTATACTTTTGGAACAACATTTCGCTGCTTGTCTACCCAACAAAGTAGCTAGTACATACTACGAAAATCGCAAGGTGATGGGAGAAGTCGTAGTATGATATGAGCGATCCGTTGCAGTTACACAAAAGGGGTCGGTCTTTGTCGAAAAGCTACTTGTTTTGGTTTGTCAAGTTCAGATCTATAAGGACATGATATGGTATGAACACGACTCGTCAAATTGCAATAGATTTTGGAAAAAGCAGTTATCTGCTTAGATCTGAAGTATTTTTGACTCGCCCTGTACAAGGTCCACATAAGCCCCTGAGACTTTGCCCAGATTACTGCTCACATGTCTAGGATGTTGATGCTCTACTCCGCATCAGGGGTATCAAAATCATTGCACTAACTATTGGAAGAGGTATTCACCAGTCTTACTAACCTTTAATCTAATCGTATTAGACGAAAATACCTCTGGTTTGCGAAAGGATTTTAAAGTCTAGTTTTAGTTCTTCAAGGGGGTATTCAAAACATGGACGCATAAAATGGATACATCAATTCTTGTGGGTGAACTTTCAATCGAAAGTGTTAGCACGAACAACAAAAAGCTTTATATAAGATTTTTAGGTATTTATGAGACCTACAAAATGAGACCACACGGAAAAAGATCCGGCTAACAGCAAAAAACCGAGAAAAACTGCAAGTTTTGGCACTTATTGGTAATGCGACGATAGTTTCCCGCAGATACTTGAAAATAACCACAACAAAATTGGAGTAGATTGATCAAGTAGTTTTTGAGAATTTCTAATTGATTATCCCAAAGCACCTGTTTTCCGGACATCACTACACTAGTATCTGCGAGAAACCATCGTGGCATTACCAATAAGTGCCAAAACTTGCAGTTGGTCTCGGTTTTCGGCTACAACTTTTTTGCTATTAGTCGGATCTTCTTCCATGTGGTCTCATTTTGTAGGTCTCATAAATACCTAAAAATCATATATAAAGATTTTTTTCGTTCCTGCCAACACTTTCGATTGAAAGTTTTCCCACAAGAACTGATGTACTCACTTTATGCGTCCATGTTTTAAATACCCCCTTGAACAACTTGCACGAATAATACCAGACTTTACAATCACTTCGGGGAAATTTGCTAATATGATTAGACTACTTAGGCGGATCAAAATTCGAACTAGTAGTGAACACGTTCAGCCCACGTAAAACAGTCCAGCATTGCAGGTTGAATAGCAGTAGCTATAAAAGCGCTTTGGTAGTTCGCAATATTTAATCAAAAAGCTATCTGGCTGAGAAAGCTATCCGATGGCTAATGCTATTCTGAATAAAAGCACTGCACCACTGAGCCACTTTACATTGTGTTGTCAGAAAGCACTCAATTTCTTTAAGTTTTGCATCGCGGTTCTTTGGTATCTATTTATTGTCTTCGCGGCTGCATGAATACTAGTCCAATCATATTAGACGAAAATACCGCTGGTTTGCGAAATAAGTGTAAAGTTTTCTTGCTGCAAGTTGGTCAAGGCGGTATTTAAAACATGGACGCATAAAATGGGAAAATTTTTTATTCAACAACAAAGTATGAGAAAACGTGTTTTGTGGGATTAAATCGAAACTGTTGGCAGAAACGTAGAAACTCTTCATGTAAGATTTATAGGTATTTATGAGACCTAAAAAATGAGACTACACGTAAAAAGATCCGACTAATAGCAAAAAAGTTATGGCTGAAAACCGAGGCAAACCGCAGGTTTTGACACTTGTTGGTAAAGCGACAATGGTTTATCGCAGAATTCATCAAATTCGTCGGATTCGTACTTTTAAATAACCACAACAAAATCGGAGTAGATTGGTCAAGTAGTTTTTGAGAATATCTAATTGTTTATTCCTAAACACCTGTTTTCCGCCCATCACTACTAGTTTATTGAGCAATATACAGGGTTAGTTCAAAGGGCATTTCATAGCAAAATATCGTCGGCTTAATCGGCAAAATGCGTATCTCCGTTTCTACAAATTTTACAGGAGACACAAAAAACGTCATCAGATTGAACTGTAGTATTTTTCACAAGAATGACTGTGTTAAACGATCAGAAAGTGTCTTGTAGCAGCTAAAAACTATATGCTTGGACAATATTTTAGCATAGATCATTTACTATGATAAAAAAAAGGAGATAGGCAGTTTTCTTTTTTATATTCAGCCAAAAACCTGGAGATAGGGGTTCCTCATATGGGATATTTGAACAGTAACAAATGAAGCTACTCAGGAAAAATACAATTTTTATTCATAAAAATATAAACATAATTCAGATTGTGCTTAATAGAGCGGCTTAAGGAAGAAAACACATGTATTCATAAAAGTAAAACAAAACCGGATTGTGCTTATCTACGATTTATTCAATCATGGGGTAAATTATCATAGAAGGCATGATAATCGACTTCCATGGTTGCCTTTAGACTTTGAAGGTGTTTATACTTTTCTGCCTTAATTTTTATCCTATTTCTATAGAGTTTGGGTAAGTCGTTTGCATCATTGGTGGCGTTGTTAGTCTTTGTGTTTAGCCTGACTGGAAGAATTTGCCATTTTTGATCAGAGTGATTGAGTTTGAAAAACACTCCCTCATGAGAGTATCTCAATGCTCTAATATCGTTTACCAATGGTGCACCAGCAGATCTTCCGGGTCTGATAGAATTAAAATATTTCAGCTCATCGTATTTTTTGAAGAAATCGTGCATTAGGTACTCAACTCTATAAGGAGCCTTTTGACATACCGTTTTGCAGATGTAGACGTAGTCTGCTGGAATATTGATTTTCTTATTTCGGGTTTTCCTTTCAATTACAGAATGGACACTGTCCACTTCCATTTGGGTATGTCCTTTCTGCAAATACTTTTGCACAATAGTAACTCCCCTCTCCAATGTGAGATTGTATAGGCCATTTGCCAATGTGGCGTTCCTATTTTGATAACCACAACCATCGCTCCATAATATAATTTGAATATCACTACGATTTTGTAATCCAAACTGATCGATATGTCTTTCTAAAAAATGTATTATTATGCTTGTGAACTCATTACTAGTTAGTCCTCCTTCCGCTTCATTCCATAAATAACAGTAGCCCTGATTGCGCTTGATGTCATAGAGGGTGAAGTTGTGGACAATCAGCTTAGTTTTATAATACAGTGCACACGTGTTTGATTTTGGGGATAGCAAAACGGATTGAAGGTCCATTGTAAAAACTTCGTTTGGAGACTCTTTATCTACGGTCTTTGCAGTTCTTGCTGCATTTTTGAATGCAATGTGTTCATTGTACTTATCTTCTGTTAAATTGCCCGTCTCAAAAGCAACACAAGTGTCACATAGATCTTTTTTTGGTTTATAGAGTGATAGTCGTTTTTTGTCGAATTCTTTATGGAATGTTGCAATCGATACAGGTTCAACGTTATGTGTAGTACAGTAGTCGCTTTTGTAAATTTTATATAAGTGAGCCTTAGAATTCCAAGTTGGCTCTAAATAGAGCTTGGATGTGGAAGCCCTGCAATAGTGCGATTCCAGCTTCGGTAGACAGTCGAAAAAGTCATGCAGCGAACGAGTAGGTGCAGTAGTACTGTCACGTATTTTATTCGGCTGTACATTATCTTCATCCTTTCTATAACCATTTTCCAAGTTACTTTTGGCCCATTTTTTTATAACCCACTCTTTTACTCCTAACGTATTAAGAAACATCGTTCTACAAACCCTTAGTCTGTCCTTGCCCAAAAAGAATCTGTTTGAATAAGATCTTCTTGAAACGTCCCTAATTCCCCGTTTTCTTATAGTATAATTTATGGAAACGTGATTTTTTACGAAAACCCTCTTTTCTGCCTAAGTGTATTGCCAAAATTCCTTAAAAATGTTTTTTCTCTCATTTTCAGTCAATTCTCTACATTTTAAAACAGATTTTTGATTGTTACTTAGTTTACAACGACATACATCCTTTAGTGATCTCGGTTCCTTTAAAATGTCATATTTCCACATCCCATTTTCCTTTTTTTCCCTACGTATGATTCTCCCTTTTCTCTTTTAATTCGATTCTTGTTTTCATGCCATTTATTTTTGTTTACTTCATACTTTGTTGAACGCTTCCGACGGGGTCCTTCGTCTTCTAATATCTTATCCGATAGTTTAGTACAAGGCGTATGATCAGACTCATCTAAGTCGGAGCTCTCACAATCTTCTACAGTTAGATTTTCAATAATAGTGGATTGTACTCCTGAACAGGAAGGTATTTCATCGAAAATGGAATCACGTTGGCCAATTTCAACAATACTCAACTGAATTGGAGCCACAGCTTCATCTTAAAAAAGTTAGATGGTCAGAAATAAATATAAAGAATCTCATTTAAGGCTCTTACCACTTGCGTCTTCCATCATCATTCTGACTTCTCCATCAACTACAAAATCGCTAATTTGTGCGTCTACAAATTCACTATTGCACTCGCTAGCACTTTGCGCTTCTACTGAATCCACATTTCCAACAGCACTGTAGTCTTCGCCTGAAAAAAGACCGAACGTAAGACTAAAAAGTGGTCAGATTATCTGTTAATCAATCAATTAACAATCTTCAAAGATTTCGCAGGTTATTTGGAATTAATACAATGGACACGTTCCATTTATAATAAAGCACGAACTGCAAAGACTGTAGATAAAAAGTCACCAAACGCCGCATAAAACGCAACTATGTTTACTGTTATATTTGGAATGAATCACCTGGTACTCAATTCTTACATTATTAGCTATGAATTTACTATTGTGCAAAAGTACTTACGAAAAGGTCATACAATATTGGGAAGGTCTTATTAGTGCTTACCAGCAGCGTCTGAAAATATCATTTCAGCATCCTGAATAGCCTTCGATAGGTCGTAGTTATTATTTTTTTCATTTACTGGTTCATAGCTGGTAGTAGACTTCAACGCATCGAAGATTCTGTCAATTCGTCTCGCCATAATCTAGAAAAAAAAGTGTCCCTTCTTAATGATTGAAAATAAAAATACGTATCTCCTATACAACCAAATATCTACTTTAAAAATATATTATGGGAAATATGCGTAACTCCCTGAAATACAAAGTTTAACTCATATCACCTTGTATAATTATAATTATCATTAAAAAATACTGATTCTAATAATCTGGAAGTTGTACTTACCTTTCAAAAGCCCTTTATGGAAATATAGATTCCACTATCACTTGCACCAAGCTGTAAATTCGCAGATGCACGTGTTCACCGTAAGCGTTATTACACGTTCTGGGATTTACGCATTTTGCCGACTGAAATTGGCGGGAACGGATATAGGCCGTTTTCTACTTTGCGTATTACAAAGAAACGAATAAAGCTTTGGATATAGGCTGTTTTCCTAAAGATGGGTTGTACTATTTACTACTAGATGGCACCAAAATGTCATTTTCTCAAAAATGTGGAGTTACGCATTTTGCCGATTAAGTCGACGATATACTAGTTTACCTTGTCGATATCAACAGCAAACCATTCCGGAAGATAAATGTTATTTTTAGGCAAAAAAGGATGGGTTACTTCTACACATATTCAAACATTTCGTATTTGTGAGTAAGTCGTAACAAAAGATGATAGACACATCCGCTTTGTTTTAAAATGTGTATAGTAACGTAGGTTTTTCGAATATCGGAGCGCATTTGTTCAATTATTGTTCACAAGTACGAAATATCTGAATGTGCTTAGAAGAAAAAAACGTAACCTTTGTTTTGCGCATAAAAATAATATTTATCTTTCGGAACGGTTTGTGATTCATATCGGCAAGGTGAACACGTGTATTTTGCTATTAAAGCTCTCTGAACGAACCCTGTATATTGCGCAATAAACTAGTAGTGATGGCCGGAAAACAGGTGTTTTGGGATAAACAATTAGGAATTTTCAAAAAACTACTTGACCAATATACCCCAATTTTATTGTTGTTATTTAGAAGTATGAATCTTACGGAATTGAGAAATTTCAAGTGGTTGCGTGAAATTATTGTCACATTACCAACAAGTGCCAAAACCTGCATCTTGCCTCGTTTTTCACCCATAACATTTTTGCTATTAGTCGGATCTTTTTACGTGTGGTCTCTTTTTCTAGGTCTCATAAATACCTAAGAATCTTATATGAAATATTTTTCGTTGCTGTCAACACTTTCGATTGAATCCCAAAAAACACGTTTTCATACTCTTTGTTGTCAAATAAAAAGTTTTCCACCCAAAAATTGGTGTAGGATCAATTATGAGACATTATTTAAAACTTTTGATTTTTTGACGCATAAATGACAATACAATAAAAATAGAAAAATATATTTATGTGCAGAAATATATATATACAACCTATTTAGTTGGTTAATTTGTCAATAAAATATCAACTTTTTTGAAAAAATAATATTTTTGTGTCTCATTTTTTACCTCTCGTAAGGTACAATTATGAGACAGGCTATGGGCAAAACTGAGACATTTAAAAAACATGTTTAAGTCAATAAAATTGGGTTTAGAGAAAAGTGAGATGCTATGGTACAAAGATGATACAAAATCTATATTAAAAAATACCTATTTTTTTATGAAACACAGAAAATCAGGTAGTAAACGAAATATTATCCTAATAAAAATGTAGATTAACAAAAATTTAAGGTGTATTGAACATTGTAAGAAGAAAGATCTATTTCAAATATTAGTGACTTCTTCATGCGCTCTGTCCCGCCATGGGAAGTCGGATTAGGAAGCTTCATTACTACGTCTGTAGGATTTACCTTGAACGTTTCTGGATTGGAAGGGTACACAAATGAGTTGCCCTTACGCCGAAGATAAGATACTACAGGAGAACCATTATTATCTATCGATTCGACATTAGCAACGTAATATACAATCTTCTTTTTCGTGGGAAATTGTACGAGTACGTAGTCGTCTTTCTTAATAGTGGATGTATCTACATCTTGATCGGGCTCAATTTCACTCTCCACAATATTTTTTAATGTCAAATTTTCCGGGGCACTTTCATCTTCATAGATTTCTCCAATCTCCTCGTCTTCACTGTCACTTAATACTTCATTCTTCTTTTTGTTGGCTTTTTTCTTATGTGCCTTTCCTTTTTCCGTTTTAGAAATAATTTCTTGCATGTATTCAGAATTAGTTAACACTTTAGCAGACCCATATATTTTGCGCCTTTTTTGCCTATTTGGAGTTCTTCTTTTAACCTTCGCGAGTAGAAGTGACCCGAAAGAGGTAGGACCTTGATCAATGTCGACACTACCATCGCTTGTGCTAGGTACGGCTGGAGGTACAATGGATAAAAATTCTGACGGGGAGAGTGAATTGTTTTCTGCAATGTTATTGAGAACACTTTGAGACTGAGGCAAAGTTGAATTAGTATTTGTACAATTAAGGGACTGCTGGGAAAAATCTTGTTCCTCTGAAATTTCTGGTTGGTCAACTGTACTTCCTGAATTATACGTTTTCAATTTCTCGGGATCTAAACGATCCATGGGGTATTTTGTTCTACCACAGGGAAAGACTCCAGTACTAGAAAAGGAAGAAATGATTGTTTCCTTATTTATTCCCTCGCTCCATAATTAACATAATAAGTCAACAAATTCCGATTTCGTTATTTTTCTTTGATTTTCACGTTGCCAGTTAATTAATTTTTCATTCCAACTGAGTTTGAGTGGTCCAAAGCAGCATCTGTCTAAAAGTTGTAAAAGATCCGTTGTGTGTGATGGAAGTTTCAGTAAAGTTATGTTTTCTGCGATTGCCCGTTCAATTGTAGTTTTGTCCAAATGGGTAATGTGACCATCGAGAATTATATGTAATGGTCTTTCAGGTACTATCTCACAAAATTTTATGAATCATTGCTGAAAAATATTGGTAGTCATAAAGTATTTGGTATGTCATGCTGTCCCTTCCATAAGTTGAGCAATTGAAAAATAATCTACCGGCAGCTGAAATGCATGCCATGACAGAGGTGTTTTCTTTTCCTGAGCCTTCTATATTCTTATGCACTTTTTGTCCCTTTCCAGCCACACCCTTAATACGAGAAGGATCGGAAGAGAAACTGGTTTCATCTATGTTCCAGATATCCAGATAAGGTCAAGTGAGTTATTTAAGTTTAGTTTATTGATGGTTTCCTGTACACGGTCGATGAATCCATAAACCAAAAATGTATCGCTGGTTGCAGTTCGTCTACTTAGCTTCAATTGCTCCATTTTCCTGGCTTAACTTTTGCCTTTTACAAAAAGCACGAAACCAGGTTTGCCGTTTTTAAATTGAGTTGTAATGTTATTTGAATTACAAATGATTGGACCGTTTCTAAGATTTCTTGTTTTGTCATAGCAAAACCCCATTTTGCCAAAATTCTAATTTTTTCCGCCAGGTCATGCTCCATTTCGGGTGTAAGATCGGTTTTTCGGCTTGTGCTTTCCATGGACCCGAACGTGGATTTGTCGATTTTAAAGCATTTTGTTGCCTTTCTTAAACTAATCTTACCTTCTTTGATAAGGTTTAATGCTGTATGAAGGTCTTCATCGTTATATGATTTTAGTTTTTTTACATATTTTCTTGGCATTTTGCTAAAAAATATATAATTATTAGTCTCATTGTTTACCTAACCTTGTCTCATATTTACCCCAAAGAGTGTTTCACTTCAGGACAGACTGCCGCGCAAATCACCTGACGACTGAATAAATATTTGGAGTATATTTCAAGGTTTACCGATTTTCCCCGAAGCAAACAGAGGCGAAACGACCAAAAGTTGTGAAATGAAATTTAAAAGTTTGTTAATGTAAAAATGCATAGACTATTCTTGTGCTATTTTTCAACATTAAACGAATAATAGGTTTATGTTTTAATTGCGTAATAAGGTACATAATAGTTTTAGCTATCGTTGACCTTAAATTTATATCAAAATTCTGTTTTTTTTCTTTTTTTTTTGTACCACTTTTTTCAATGTCTCAGATTTGCACCACATGACCCTACCCATTTTATGCGTCCATGTTTTAAATACCCCCTTGAACAACTTGCTCCAATAAAACCAGATTTTACAATTATTTGGGGTAAATTTGCTAATATGCTTAGACTATACGTTAGTTTGGATATTTGAAAATGCTATATGAACTAATATGAGCTGGATTTTTTATTTTCGTAAGTTTGCAAAATTATGTCTCCAAAAAAATCACACTATCTGGAATTCTTGGCTATACTAAGTCGAGTATGAAATACTGTGTTCCACATTATATATATGATCGATTACTTTAGCAATTATGATTTATTTTTAGTAGTCACCTAGTCTGTAATAATGAAAAGAGTGAATAAAAATGCATTATGTAGAGACGACTAGGGCGCATGTAGGGTAGGTAGGGGTGGGGGTGATCAATATAATTCTAGCAGTATATCGGCTATTTTCAGTATCATTTTCTCGTCCTTCATGAATTATTTTCATCGATTAAGAAGTGTTGTCTGTATTATTTAAAAAGTTTGATCGATATCGGGATGAGTTACAATAGGAAGAAAGCTCTTACAAGGTTCAATTTGATCCAGATAATCGTAGATGTTTCATATGAAAAGTATGGTTCTTCAAGATAATGTAACTTAAACAATATTTTCTTATAGACCCAGAACCTCTGAAGAAAGACTGGAAGCAGGCAAGGGGAAATTTATAGATATTTTAGAATCATGCTCAAAAAATTTCAACAATGACAGACCTCCTAAGAGCATAAAGATATTTACAAGAATACTCGACGAAAATGGGGGCGGTGTTATAAAGACAACGCACAAAAATTCCCCAAGAAGGAACAAGTTCTATAATAAGTAACCTGCATATTTTTATTTCCACCCGACTGATATTTGGCCCCTACTATGGAACACAGGCGTGCGTTAGGAAAAAATTGAATTGCAAAGTGACTTTTTTCTTTTCATATCAAAACTGCAACCGGTAAGCTACGCTATAGTTGCAGGTTCCACGAAGAACTTATGTTTTCGTCAAGTTACTCTAATAACGCTAAAGTTATCTTTTAGCTAATAAGATTTTAGTACTCTACGCGAAAGAGAACACGGGTCAAAACGACAAAAATAAAAATCGCTTAGACTTCGTTTTTGATGTTTCAGAGAATTTATCTAGAAAACCGATAAAATGTCATCTTGCAGACTTGGTAGCTTTTAGTGTGGAGATAGTTCATCCCAGGTTTACTAGCTATGATCGCTGTGAGCATCATCAAAAGCGTCCATCTATGGAGGGACGACTCAACGACACGGCACGCTCAAGAATGCATTGTTGGTTGCAGAAAGCCAAGTAGTGTTTATCTCTGAGAATATGTGAAAGAAAGAAAGTTGGTTCAGTATTCAGTAGCAAGATCGCATCTGGATGATTATGTGCATTGGTCTGCATGTGAATAAGATCAGTGATATTTGCTATGTGAGAAAGCTATTACTGAATATGCTGCCAATGAAGTCTATCAATTATATCTGCCCGATGGGTTATTTGTAGGTATGTTTTCATTTCTTACAACAGGTTATGTTCAAAGTTATAAGTTTAGTTTTTTTTTTGATTTCAAAAATTGTGAGGAGGATTACGGGAAATCATCACCATGCCCGCATTGTGTGTAATAAAGTAATGAAGTATGTAGACAAACTTTAACCATTGAATCCTTGGTCAATTTGAAGACGAAATTTCCATATGAACATGGATCAGCAACGGCTTTGTTTTCAAGATAGAGCATATGAGCACTAAAAGAAATGATGATATTGTTCTAAACATTTTTTAAAAGAATGGAACGTATTTTATTTAAATTAGGTTTGTCCTGTGGTGAATATCACATGATTTGCAGTTGTTTTCAGACCCTATATGTACGTAGATATGGTTAATGTTATCCGGTATTTTTTGAAAAAATAGCATGACATTGATTTGTTTTGATCACAATACTTTTAATATTCAAGCATTATGCTTATATAGACACCTATGACGTACCCGAAATCAATTGAATTAATAATGATCCAGTTCAGTTATCAAGAAATTACAGATATTCACTTTGTTTACGGAATGGCTCTGGTTTACGCTCGACGAGCACGACGTTTGTATAATGATCGATTTCCACAACGCCCGCTGCCTAATGTACACACTTTGAACAACATTCACGCTCGGCTCTGTGAAAGAGGCAGTTTCAAGAGATCCACACATGTTGCAGGAAGACCCGCAAGTGTAAGAACCATCCAAATCGAAGAAGCTGTGCTTAATAAAATCGAAGAGGACCTTACAACAAGTATATGCCTATAAGAGTTGATTTTTGCAGCTGGTTACGCGAAAAAGTAACATTTAATAAAAATAATTTAAATCGAATACTGTTCACGGATAAAGCATGTTTTTCGCGAATAGCAATAATAAATTTCCATAATAACCATGTATGGTGTGAAAAAAATCCCCATGCCATAATTGAACATAATACGCAGCACGACTTTTCCTTCAATATTTCGATTGGAATCATTAGTGACCACTTGATTGGCGCTCATTTCCTTCCCACAGACTTAGCGGCGAAGATTTTTGGAGTTTGACCTACCTGGATTAATGAAGGAAATTCCTCTTAGAGAACGACGTCGCATGTGGTACATGCATGACGGTGCTCCGCCACACTTCAGTGTGGTTGCGCGAGAATATCTAGATAATAATTATCCAAATCGATGGATTGGAAGAAGCGGTCCACAGCCATGGCCGCCTAGATCGCCTGACATAAATCCTATCGATTGTTTTTTATGTGGACATTTGAAATCATTAGTATACAAGACTCCTGTTCAAAGCGTGGAGGACTTGAGAGTCAGAATTGTCGAGTCATGTCTCACTATACAAAATACCGGGTATCTTCAGGAGAGTTCGTCAGTCAATGTGTAGCAGACTAGATGCCTGTATTGAAGTCGAAGGTGGCCACTTTGAACATTTATTGTAAAAAAAAACTATTCCCTATTTTCTATTGTCGTTCTATTCGATTGTTAGTTCAACTATTAACCTTCTAAATCCTATTGAGCCTCAGCAACTTGTAAAACATGCAAAATTTATTATAGGTTATACCAACTGTTCAATAAATACGTTTTATTATTCATAGAAATATTTGGAACATTACTTGTATTTCTTTAGTGATAGTGCTCTAGCTCGAAAAGAAAGCCGTTACGGACCCATGTTCAAATTGACCAAGGATTCGAAGGATAAAGTTTGTCTACATAGTTTATTAGCACCCTGTATATGACTTGTAATTCGACTGTGTACAGTGAATATAATTGCAATATAAGATTCCGCATAAAGTTAATTGCTTCACCAACACGAGGTTTTCTTTTATCATCTCTCTCATTTTTTAAATTCAGCAAATTTGCATTTGTAATTTCCAGAATGGATATGAAAAAGTGGATGCGCAACTTCCTTCTTAGCTGTGAATCTCAAATAAGTGTATTTGAGACAAGAAACCAATGGAATTATCATCAACACATATTATTACAACACAAATAATAATAATAATAATAATGTTTATTGTCACAAAATACAACAA